GGCATATGTTTCATAGCCTGGCGCTGTTTAGCGACGGGGGGCATTTTGTACTAACATTGCTTCCCTAGTTCCGGTTTACGAATCTCACCATGGTAAAACTTGTGAACGCCTGTGAAGCTGGAGTAAGATCGTCTAGCCACCATCCTAAAACGTGTCAACTCGAGAAAAGGCTACCTAGATGGGTCGGCACATCTATGAAAAGCCGCCCCCCCGTCGACAAACTGCGCCTCATCAGCCTATATGCGAACTCGTTTTATTTATTTATTATTCGGTGACGCGAAGAGCACAAATCAACAAGTAAAAATAGCAACCAGTATACCTCTGACAACAACTTTTAAAACGAATCCTGTATAGCAATTTATAGCTAAGTTTTGTTCTGTACAAAATCTCCTACATGTCGTTAAGAAGAATGATACTTCAACTGTAAAACATTGCAAAAGGGAATTGATCCTTAAGCATACTCTGTTACCGAAAAACTTCGACCTAAGGTGAGTCCTTGCGTATATAGATGATAGTCTAATGGATGCTCCTCTTGAGTTAGAAGGCAGTACGCGATCAAAAGTCATCGGCTTTCATTTTGACCTAAAGTTGTTCAGTAATTGTTTGAAGACATGAGCAATCAGTTCTAGGCTTCTCCTACACTGCTCAGTGATTTCTAAACCAAGCGCTATTCCAACGGTTCCGCTAGGTATCCCCAAGTAGTTCACTCCTTCCCATCTAACCAGGAAAGGTCATCAGGTCAGCCTGGCCATTTCCAATGATGTGCACACCGTGTGTGCGCGTCTTGAGACGGTGAACTCAAATCTGTCTTCAGAATTTGCGGAACGAGTCTCTGAGCGGAGTTATGGAGGGGGTTTATCCCCGCATAGTTGTTTTACATGCTATCGCGAGCAAACGTGGAAGCGTCTTTACATAAATGTATGGAGTCCTCCTGAAGCGTGGCAGTAGAGCGCAACGGATAGCGAGTGGGTTTCCTAGGTGGGACGTCATGAGATCAAGTCCCGGGGGGTAGCACGTTTTTGCATTTGTCCAAGAATATGGCAGACGAGTCTTTTAACATCACTGCTCGCCTGCACCATCCATAAGGGGACCTGCGATTAGTTGTTGTTCGAAAGTGTAGAACCACTATGGGCTGGAAAGGGTAGCTTATGTGGCTTGTCCTCCCTTGTAACACATTTTACAAGGGTTTTTGCAACAAAATACCATGATATCCATGTTCAGCGGGTCAATTTGCCCCTGGAGACAAGTTTCTAGCTAAATCTGACGTTTCGACCTAACTTGGAAAATGTGGGCCATTCCATGGGCAATTAGCAGCAGGCTGGGGCCCACCCACCATGGATGACTGGTTTTAGGATGGAATTTCTTACAGGTAATCAGGAAAATGATGCAGACGGCACGAATAAGTGAGCCAGGTATTGTTCTTTGCGAAAATACAGGATTGAAGAGTTATTTCAGCTCGCAGACCAGTCATCATCAGTATGCTAGTCGCAGTATCGTTGAGTCAGCTAATGACTAACCTTATCCCAATTTTTTCGAAGCTGAGTCAGAACCTCAGATTTCGCTAAGGTGCCGTCTCTAGGGTTATATTTGACCCCCTGAACACGAATATGACACTTGTTTTGCGCGAAGAGCGCAGTGAGTCGGGCTACATATCCCAACGCTTTAGCGCCAGCGCGCCCGGAAGAAGAAAATTAGTAAAGAAACCCCCACAACTCGCTCAGAGAATCGTTCCGCAAATTTTGAAGATACTTTTGAGTTCACCGTCTCAAGGCGAGTACAATGATGTGCACCTCATTGCATATGGCCAGGCTGACGCTTTCTAGACCTTCCTCGCGTAAGTATTGTGCGACACTTTCAAGGAGCGTGAATATCCTTATTTTGTATATGATTGAGATACCACGGTCCCAGACTCCATTATGGGGCGAACGTAAAGCTTGTATGATCGCAACAACACGCTAGCTTCTCTCGTTCGCAGGGCTTTGAAAAGGTTAAAAGTCCTTCTCAAACCCTTTGTTACTGGCATTTTATAATGCTTGCCGAAATTTAACTTGCTATCATAGTTGAATCCTAGATCCCTTACCTCTTTCACCGTTTTTAGTGCAACGTCTTCCACATAATACACCGGTTTATGGGTAGAAACGCCCAAACGCATTACCTGAGATTTTCCGACGACAAAAGAAGCCCGTTATCTTTTGCCCAGTCCACTATCTTGTTGATTGCAAGTTGTAGTGAAGGTTCGTAATCTACATCTCCAGTCACCTTGTAAATCTTAATGTCGTCGGCATAAATAGGTTGTTAACTTTGGTAGTCTAGCTCACGGCCTAGCTGTCGTGAATGTCTTCTCGATGCGTTTCCTTGTGAATGTGATATCTCCAGAAACGAGAGATGAAACTGTTCTACTTCACTAGTCCTTTCTTCAAAATTCAGGCTAGATTCCGAACGAGATTGTTTCTGGAAGTAGAGTTGACTGGAAAGTCGTCTTCGTCTTTGTTTTGAGCGGTTCAAATCCTTGAGCTTAAATATCACATCCGATCAGTTAAAACTGATAGGCTGGCAGCAAAACGCCTCAAAGCACCGAGCTGAAAATTTATTCAGAGATAGCTTGGCTTCCGAAAAGCGAGCGCAACCTTTGCTTAGTATGTGAACGCATAGTGCGTGCGCTAAGCGCCAGGAGCAAAACTATTCCGTGCAGGGTACAGCATCGTTGTGTGAAACACATAGCGGGTCGTACGTTTCCGCTGTGGAGAGGGGTCGTAATTGGTCACTGTTGGGAGAGCGGGCGTCGTAGCGTCATATGTGCTTTGAGAGGAATTTGCCGCGTTGGGAAAAACTTTTGTTGACTTTTCGTGATTTTTCCTGTTTTACCCCCTCTC